TCTTTTGGTTCAAATCTTGATAACGAGAGTTTTGTAATTGATTGAAGGAGGTGTGTTCTTAAAACTAATCGTTCTTTGAGATCTTGTTGAGTTTTTCAGGTTGTTAGCAAGATTAAGGTGATTGTCAATGGTGGTGAAAAATTTTGTTTAAAAAAAAGTAGATTTTTCTCTCCATAGATGTCTTAGTAGTGATTGTGTGGAAGGCTACGGACAAGAATGAGTTTTTCTCGGATCTTTGGACAATTTCATCGCTCAAGGAATTGGTAGGATCAACGGGTTGATAGCTACACATGAAGGCTTGGAGCATAATTGATGATATTGGAAGATTAAAAAAACATAATTCGAGTAAAGATTGTATAGGAGAGTTTGACAAGTGTGTTGTATACAAATCAATATCCAAATATGAGATTTATTTTCTCAGTTGTATTGTGTATTGATGATTGCATGAAATATTGAAAATGTTTGTCAAATAACAAGGAACTATGCAGGTTCCAATGGGAAACCATTGAGAATGCACGTAGGCAAAGCGAGGACGAACGCTGAAACACTATAAATTTCAGTGTCATCTCTCACTCTTACTTTTGTATTTAATTTCATATTATTTGCATGCTTATGTTCTTCAATTGCATTGTATTATATCGTTTGTTCATTGTTAGCGATTTATTGCATACTTATTTGGTTTTGTTAGAATTGGATAACGAGTTAAGTTAGTTTTGTGATCAATAAACTGAAACAGATTAACCTTAGAACTCCATCTATTTAATCATTGTGTAAACACTTATGCATTACGCAATTGAATTAATTCATACCAAGTGTTTCATATATTAATCTTTGATATTTGTGAAACGATTCGTGTTAATTTGATCAATATTTGAACAGTATAATTTTCATTTTCGTATCCAATCTTCCACTCGCAACTCATTTTTAAAAACACTCCGATATTAAAATATAGCAGTTGAGTTTTTTAATTTGAGTCTATTCATCCCTCTAAATCGTTTTTCTGTTTTCATATTCACACCCAATTACCTCCGATATAACACGAATGTGCATGTCATTTCAACAAAATTTAGATGAATTTTTAAAATTATATCCTATAATTAAATTAACTCATATTGTGAACTTGAACCCATAATCTATAAACTTTCCATATTGTCGCCATTCATTTTTTGATGATGTGTATGCAAAGATGTTCATATGAGAAAACATGTCATCAATTTGTCTACGTAGGAAAGAGATATTTAAAAAGCATGGATCCACCACTTTTTATGATCTTCTCTCTTGTAATTAAATACTACTAGTAATTTTAATCTAAAAAAGAAAAAGAAAAAAATCTACTCATATTATCCTCCTTAATTGAAGAACTAATCATTCTATTAGTTTGCACATTTTTATTTATTTATTTATTTAGAAAACAATATCTCTAAATATAAGCCAAGAGACAGGGTACATGACTATGTCCTAACCAACCAAAAGAGCCTCTTTGCCTTTATAGTTAAAGTCTGTATCCACTTTTTGAAACAATCGAAGTAACTTTTACATTTGAAAATCAAACTCCCCCCTCCAAACAAGTTTCAGAAAATTAAACAACTTTTTTTAGTCATAGGGTTACAAGTTTGAATTTAGATTTTCTTGATTGGTTACCAAAAACTTTATTACATTTCAAAATAGTGTACAATGTTGATTTTCACGTTCATAATTTTCAAAGTTGTTTCAAAGTTTTTAAAAACTTTTTGAACTTATAAATTAATCGTAAAATATAATATGTATATTAAAACCCTTTTTGCTATAATTTAATTATGAAAAAAACGGTCCTAATAATTTTAATCTCCACAAAATAATAGTAACACTAGCTTTCTAACACGATATATTTTCATATCTACGATTATTAAATTTTCCAAAACAATGCGCAACACCATTTACTAAAATATATTAATCCTAATAGCCTTTTCAGTTACAATATACAAATCATTTTATAGAAACATAATTTACGCATAAATAACATTAAAAAAAATGGATGATACATAAATTAATTTTATACAGTCAAAATTAAAAAATATATCGCTTATATTTTAATTTTTTTTAATAATAGAATAAATTAATAATTTTTTAATGAATAATAATATAAAACTATTTTATGCTGTCAAGACATATCTATTAAACTTTAACATTAAACTATAAATAAAAATTTTAAAATATTAAACAAAAGTGATTCGTATTTTTTTTTATAAATTAAATTAAATTTCAAAGATATACCCTTAAATATTTTTGTGATACATATTTTTTATTAGAGTTCGACCAGACACTTCAAAATATTAAAGTCTAAATTTAACTTATTACCATTAATAATTTTCTTATAAATTTAAATATAACTTTTAAAAGTTTGGTATGACTTACCAAACTATTTAAAAATCTAATTTATATTTAAAAAAATTAAAATATAATTAATATTTAAAAATATTAATAAAAAATCAATTACATGAGCTTTGACTAAATATTTTATTTTATTATTTTATTAAAATCAATTACATGAATATTATTTTATTTTTATTTTTATTTTATTATTCCATTTTTTATTATTGAAACCTTTAATCTTAACCGTTTTATTAAACAAATCAAACTAAACTAAATCTTAAATAGTTTAAACTATCGAAACTTATTATACAAATTATCTCATTTATACATTAAATCTAATATAAATAAGTTATTACATATTTGAACCGGGCACAAAATAGAATGTTGATTGTGTTCATTGTCTATGTATAATTATCAAATTAATTGAATTAACAAAGACTATTTTATATTTATTTTTCATTAAACAAAAGTCACTAACGTTTTCCTATCTAATAAACATTCAAATAACTCCCAAATAAAATTTTCAAAAATCAAAACCATGTTCACAGTGTACATATTTGAGATGAGGTGTAAAATTACCATGCTTGATATCAAAAGCTGCATGGTCTACCCTTAAAGCACTTAAAAATCCAGAGCTTGTACTTAAAGGACAAGTTCTTTTACTCAAAAGAAAAAATAATAATAAAACATAGTGCCAGTTATTTCAGGTAGGGTCCCTAATTAAATAACTATTTATACAATTTTGTGTAGTTCTATGTCTTGTTCTCAAACCACTTTAGGTCCATGAAAGTACTGAAAATTTCAGAAGCAAATTTAGTGCTAAGTTTTTTAATATCCTCAAATTATTTATTTCTTATTTTTTTCATTCACACTAATAGTAAAGAAAGGGACAAACTCAACCATTTCCACACGTATACATTTTTCATGGCCCTACACTCTTTATCATGTTCAGAAAAAGAGAAAAATCTGATAAGATTATTTTATTTTCTCACCAAAGTTGTAGTCTAGCATGGAAAAATTAATTTTCACCTTTGGTGAATTTTTAGGAAATTACCAATTTATTAAATTTAATGTTAGGTTATGTAAGTATGGTTAAATTTAATGCATGGTTTACCAATATGAGGATGCATGTAGTAACTTATGTCTTAAATAATGTGTTTTGAAATTGAATTTTGTTGATGGAAATAGGTTGAGAGAATAATTGTCCCTAACACTAGTACTAGTAGTACTAGTACTCTACACATGTGAGTAGTATTATTTACTATATTTATTGGTACAATATTTAAGATTATTTCTATGACATTCTTAAAATTTAGGTTCACATTACTCATCTCAAAAAAAATTTGCAATATAAGAATTATTTCAGAAATTCTCAACTTTCATATTTATTTTGGTTAGAATATCTTCGGAGTTTATACACAACACTACTCTCACTTCAATTGATTATATAGAAATAAATTAGGTCAAGTTTTGAGTTACGGATTATCCAACCACAATCACCTAAACTATCTAAAGTGTGGTTTTAAATTAGAGTTGTAGTTTCAGATGCAGTTATTGTTGTGAGTGTTGCAATTGTGGTTGCTGCGATGTATATTACGACCGTTACTATATGAATTTTGAATAAGTGTTTAAAAGAAAATGTTAAATAAATACATAGTTGAGTTTTAAGATTTTAAATGGTGGGATTTATGAAAATATTTGAAAAAAATTATGATTGAAATTGTCTGATATGATTTCTAATGCAGTTGAATGTATGATTTTAAATTACACTAGAATTGCGGTCTAATGCAGTTGAAAAAATTACTCCATTCACAATATTACAGTTTCAATTATATTTGCAGAATTTAAAACCATGATGTAGAACATAAGTGGTGTGTTAATAAAATTTTAAATTTAATTTTTTTAATGTTATATATTCATGTCAGATAATGTCAATGATCTGAAATTTTTACTAATTATTATGAGATAATAAGTAAATAAAAATAGAAGGAATTAATTGTATTTTTGTTACTTTAACATGAGTATAATCTTATTTTGTTTTCTATAATTTCTTTTAAGAATGACTCAAATTTTTTTAAAGAATTTTTCACTTTTGATTTTTGGGACATCTCTTTATCCAAAAAAAGATGATGTGACAAACTAACGTGACAAACAAATGGTTCAATTGTCTTCTTTTTAATGATGCCTTGCTTTTTATACCTCATTCATATTTGTTTTTATGAAAACTTTAAATTTTAAATAAACTAAACATAAACTCATAAACTTAGTTTCAACCTCATACAAATCACTCATTTATCTTGATGCAATTTTTCTAAATAAATAAGTATTTTTCCGCCATATCCAACTTATTAAAGTGATAAATCATAAATAAGTATTTTTCTAAAGTGATAAATCATAAGATAAATCTTTTTAATTATAGTTGTCGGAAATGTGGTTGGACCTAACTCAACCTTACAAAATCAATTGGTAGAATGAGGATTACCCCACTTATAAACACAGGTTCATGCCATATATTATCCGATGTGGGATTCTTAACGATAAAAACCTTGATTTAAAGTACTGGAAATATATTATTAACATCATTATTATTACATTTAAAGATAAATAATAATAATACATATTAAAAAAAATAATATGAAAAAGAGAAACTAGTTATATTTCTCTACCCTGTTTTCAGTCAAATCAAACCATATTTGCTTGAACACCTTGATAATAAGATGATGATACTCATCTGAATTCAGAGAAAGATAACAAGCAAGAAGATCCTCTAAATCCTTTGATTCTCTTATGTTATTCTCCACAATCATCTCCACCATTGACTCTCTGAAATCCTTCCCAGGATTAAAAGATGATTTCACTATTGCAACACTACCGGAGAAGCTTCTTCTCCGGTGGTAGCCGCCGGAAGCTGTCGTCGTAGTCGACGACACGCTTTTCCGGCTCTGATACAACTGAAGTTTCTTAGTGGCGATTTTTGGAGATTTTATACGAAGCTTCATTCCTGGAGAATTTACGGAACCAATCTTGTTCTTCTTCTTGTTCATGTTCATGTTCATGCTCTTCATTTGTTGTTGATGATGTTGTTCTTTGACGGGGTTATGTTCTTTTTTGATTTGTGGCTTTGTGATGATTGGAGGAAGTTGTAGCTTTGAGAAAGAAACATTAGAATTGTTGTACTCTTCAAGTTTATCATCTTTTCTAGGTAGGGAATTTTTGTCAACATCAATAACAATATCTATGTTGTTGTTGTTGTTGTTGAAATTGTTGTTGTTTGAGGTTTTGTTGCAAGGACAAGAAGAAATGGACAAAGAAACCATTTCATCAAATGATGTTTCATTTGGGAGTAGAACTCTATCTGTTCTGAATTCTGTCTCAACGGATTCTGACTCGTATACGCTGTTAAGCGGAGAGGAAGAAAGTGGTTCCGATTTCGTCCACACCGATTCGAGTGTGGTTCGACAGCTGCAATCCGCGGAGACAGAGGAGGCAACAAGTTTTGGTGAAGAACATGTTTTTGATTTTGAGGTTGTTTTTCTTGTTCTGTTTTTGGATGGTGTTTTTGGTGGTGAAGAAGAGGATAATTTGATGTGGTTGTTTTGGTTAAGGTTTCTTGTGAAGTAGTAAGATTTTCTAGGAATGTATTGGTTGGGTTGATTTGGTTTTGAGGAAATTGAGGTTGTTTTTGAAGGTAAGGAAGATGGATGTTTTTTGTTCTTAGAGGTGGTTGTTGTTGTTTGGTTTTTTGGTTTGCCTATTTCCTTTAGCTTGTAAAACCAAGCATTGGGAATCATATTTGAAAGCTTGAACTTGTTATTCCTCATTCTCAACACACACACACACACTCTTGTGTTTGTATTTGGTTTTGTGAAAGTGTGTGTGTGTTTTTGTTTTGCTTATGTTTGTGGGAGTTGATGAAAGCTTTTTCTAGTTGTTGTAGTTCTCTATGCAATTTGTGGGGAATGAGAGTGAAAGAGTGAGACATTAGATAAATCCATAAGAGAATACTGTTTGCATTTATTATTTTTGACATTATTTTTATTTTGCACTTTTTCTTTAGTAGTAAAGTTAACCTATTTGTTTGGCTACAATGTCAAATACTAATATCTTTAATATTTTATTAATCTATTATAACTATTTATTTGTCATTTATCAATTATTACCAAACAATTGAATTAAACTTTTTAGAGTATCATTTATGTGTATTTATGTATTAATTTTCTCATCTTTTGTACTTTAATGATTTTCACCTATTTATTAATATTTTATATTTTATTTAATTTTTTTAATTAATTTTAATAATTGTTGGTATATATATTAATAATATTTTTATAATAAAAATAATAACTTACTTATTTATTTTTTAAATTTATAAATATTAATAATTTATTTATATTAATAAATAAATAAAAATAAATATTACAGCAAGTGATTTAATTCTATATTAACAATTTACATCCATTTAACTCAACTAATGCCGAGCTATTTCATTTGTTTTTTATTTTATTTTATAATCTTAAATAATATTGTTAAAATTTTAATTAAAAGAATTGTAAAATAATTATTAATGTCACTATTATTATTATTATAATTTTTATTTTTCATTTTTTTAATAATTTAAAAGATTGAACCAATTAAAGTATAATAAAGGTCACACTCCTTGGATTACCTAGTGTGTGTGGTTCTTAAAACACCATTTAATAGAATAAATTGAAAGAGAAATAAAGAAAGAAACAATAAGAATTAGTAATTAATAGAAAATAGGGTCCACAATATAAGAAAAAAGATGACAAAAAAAAATAAAGAAAGAAAAAGTGTAGGGTCAAGAGGGTGGTGGTGGATAACAATTGGAAGATATTGACACTAATAATCAACACCTAACCCAAATTAATTAATAAATATAAAACACCTAACCTAAATAGTACTACATGTTATAACATCATCAATAATTAAATCTTAGATACTATTTGGTTTTTGTTCCTTTTAAATCACCTACACGTAGGGTTATTCCTATGCAGAAATTTTATGCCTTCTGGGATTTAAGACACTGCTGGTTTCTCCACGTGGGTTACATGCTGATAATATATAAGATGTTTTATAGTGAAGGTAACAATTAGTTCATATTGAATGTGACTATATGAAGATATTGAATTTCTAGTGTAAATGCATCAAACGTGGAAGCAGGTTTAGAGAAATTGTTGCAACTATACTAACTAGAGAATATGATCAAGAACATGTGGTCTAGGTTTTTCAAGGAATTTTCTAACTTTTAAAAAATTGAAAATATTAAAATTAAAATATGATAAAAATATTTTTAAAAAAACAAGAGTTTTTATTAATTATTTTATTGAATTAAAATTAAAATGAAAAAATTAATATATATCATTTTTGTTATTTGATCTCATTTATGAAAATAATCCTCTATCTTAAATTTAAATAATTTTTTATATGACATGTCACTTTTTTATACAAAATAATAGAATTAAAATTGTGTTTAAGCCCATAAAAATTATATTGAACATATAAAATAATAATTAAAATTTTTACTATATATTGTACTTGTAAAAGTACATTAATGATAATTTTATGAGCGAAAGTTAGTAAAGTCGCATTCAGATGCTCGCATGTCTTTTTTTTTTCATGATCATTTTCTTATATATTAGTTTTGATCCATTCCGTACTCAAAGTCTATCAGAGACCATTTAACCCGATTGTCCGTGATTAGTGTGATCTTTTAATGGTATTTTGCAATTAGATAATCCTAGACCAGGATGCTCCCAATCAGTCATAAATGTGTTATTCATAGTATCTTAATCCAAATATTCCTTTTGTATTAGTTTTGGGTTGCATGATCAACTTGGGCCATCAGTTGCCTCAACCCACCTTGGTCTACTTGACAAGCTACAATTTGGAGCTGACTTTATTTGATTCAAACTTCAACCAGTTCCACTCTCAATGACCTGACACAATAGATCATACATGTTCACATTCCACCAAGGATGAGCCGCATAGGGGGAAATTCTTTCCTGAGACCTACCAAAAGATTGGACATGTACACAATCCCTCAAGCATGAATCATGAAGGGAGAAATGTTTTCCCAAGATCTACCAGGAGTCAAGGCATGTACAAAACCCTTTTAACTATTAGTCAATTAGGGTCATAATGTTTTCTTGAGAGATACCGAGAGGCTAAACATGTACATAACCCCTCAAGCATGAGCCGGGAAGATCGAAATGTTTTCCTAATACTTATTGAGAAATCGGGCATTTACACAATCCCTTAAGAGGTTGGACATTTATAATATCAAATTTGGGTTGGATGGCATGATTCGGTCTTCTATTTTATCTGGTTCGTTCTTGTTATCTAGAGGTGGATTCTGGTTAGTTTGGGCAGCCTAAAGTTAATATGCAATAAACACTTTGTCAGTCTAGGGTAGGAAATAGTTGATCTGGTTCAACCTTTTAATAGTTTAGGCCATACATTCAATTGTCAAAGTCGGGTATTCATTTAATTGGGTCGGGAACCCATTGATCCATTGAAGACCTATTGTTCCCAAAATAGGGTTGAAGGTACACAATCCCTTAAGCATGATTTGTGTATGGGGTGGGATGCTTTTAAGGACCAACTAAGAAGCTCATATAATACATAACCCCCCCCCCCCCACATGAGCCGTTCATATTCGACATAATATCTTTCAAATATTCTTCGAGTTTTATGTGTGGTGGGTGGACACAAGTCGGTATTAGACATATAATTGTACAATCTCCCAAACACGAGGCTTTTAAAGGCGAAGTGTTTAGAATGACATGTTTTTTTTATTACTCGTAAATTATGCAATAGTTAGAGTCTGGGTCGTGAGTTCAACTTCTAATTCCTTATACTTTTAAGTCTTCTTTGAGTAAGAGGGTCAATCTCTAGGCTAACTGTATCTATGATTCTTGACGATTTTGTGTTGTGTAAAGCGAGTTGTTCAAACTCACTGGTTTTCTCTTGCGTATGAAGTATATCGTAGGAGCAAGGTTCATGTAGGGTTATAGTATATACTTCGTAGGGAGTCACCAATAGTTGCAAGATTCCTCGTAGGGTTTCAACATATACCTCTTAGGGTCTTGAAGATGATGACGAGTTCAATGCCTGATTCCAAGTAGTGACATGATGATACCAAAAAGCTTGTATCCTTAGATTTTTGACTTGTTTGACTTTAGAATTTTTGCATGATAACTTGACTATTTGGGACATTTGTTTTTCTTTTATTTAGCTTACAATCATCACAAATTTATCATTATAATGTTGTCATAAGTACAAAAATAAACAAAATAAAATCATACTCTAGTTGACACTCGAAACCCCAGTCAATATTTTTTATTGACAATAACAAGTGTGAGTTATAAAATTTGAGAAACAAAGTTTGGGAAAGTCCCACATTGATTAGAAAAGTGGAGACTTGAGCATGTATAAGCGAGAGAACCTACAAACTTATCACCTTAAGGTTTTGAGTGAGTATGTTGTGTGTCTCTCATAAGGTATGTTGCTCATAAAGAAAATCTCATAGGAATGTAAGTATGCTCCCTCATGTTGACCCCCATAAACTGATGACTCAACAGTGGTATCATGAGCCTTTGGTTTGAGCGAAAGATCGACTTACTTATATTAAAAGTCCTCCCCACAGGATGTTGAATATGATGTATTCCGTTGAAGAGTGTCAACGGTTGTACAAGTGTATGTGGAAAAAAAAGCTTCCACTTGAGGGGGAGCATTGTGGATAGACTCACACTTGAGGGGGATTGTTGAGAATAAAAAATGTGAGTTGGAAACTTTGAGGAAAAAATAGTGTGGGGAAGTCCCACATTTATTAGAAAAGTAGAAACTTGAGCATTTATAAGTGAGAAAATCCACACACCTATCAATTTAAAGTTTTGGGTGAGTATGTGGTATGCCTCTCAAAAGGTATGTTACTCGTAGAGAAAATCCCTAAAGAATGTAAAAACAATCTCGATCCCTCATACTAACCCCCCTAAATTGATGACCTGGCATTTTTTTATAACTTTATATATAAGAAAATATGTATTTTATAATAAATTTCAACATTAGTTGTATAACTCATACTCAATCCATCACTATATTGGAAATAGTTCTACTTCCATAATCGTTTCCACACATAAGATGTATCACACATGGCTAACCCACTCTTTAAGAGCATATAAACCTATCACAAAATCTAGTAACCAATTCCTAACAATCAATAATAAAATTATACTAACTAATTATAAATTAATTTTTCTAATAATAATAACAAGTTTGTGTGCAAAAATTTATTACTCCTCTATTAAGCCCCATCTCATTCATGTTTTCCTTTTGCATTCAATTATAGCACTAACTCTAAACATAGTGGTCTTTGAGGGTGTGTAAGGAGACCCATAGCATATGACCTCACTTTTTTTATAATTAAGCTATTATGAATGTTAGTGCTGAAGCACTTAGGTGAGGAAGGAATTAAAGGTTAGAGAGGATGTGGAGAATGAAAAGTAAATTATGTATATTTTTGTAATCTAACTACATACATGTATTTATATGTAAGTTATTACTTGTATACCAAGTAACTAACATAACAAACTAAACTTTGATTATATTACAACATACCCCCTTATAATTCAAGTATCTAATTAAAAACTAATCATAATTGATTTGAACTATTTCTAATTTCTTTATCAAAACTAAGGAATATGTCGATCTTCAATCCTTTGGTGAAAACATCGCCCACTTGTGCTTCATCGAGCAATGTCTTACCTCAAGTTAACCTTGATTTTCCTTATCTCTTAGGAAG